CTAAAATAAATGTTGCGCTCTCTGTCTGGTGACCGATTGCAAAAGACACTGAAACAATTACAACTCTGAGACATGTGGGTCTGGCTCTCATTCATTTAGCTTTAACTCAATTGTTGACGGAGAGCGGCCGAGTGGAATGACATAAGGATTTTAATTTGGACAGTTTGAAAGAAAGATAGCAAGGGAAGTATGCACTAACACTAAACAAAAATGCTGTAAAAATACTCAAATTAATACTACATAAAACTGAAACTTATATAATTATCCCTTTTAAAGGCATGTGATTATATATATATACCCATACAATCATTGCAGTGATGTATTGATATATAGGTGAATGAACAATTATGAATTCAGGCAACTGTTTTGATTTTGGTCAGAATCCATTCACAAACTACTACTACACATACAACTACAGCCCGCGCCCATCTAGTACTACTGCTTTTCGGTTTTGTTTCCACTCCCTCCCTGATCCTCTCATCTAGCTTGTCCCTTCCGCCACATTGCACTGCCCCATACAAACATGACCCTATTTGGGATTGTGGGAAGCTGGCTGGAGTCTGCGGGGTGGCTAAGATTATCTCCATGGCAACCCACATCCAAACACCCAAAAGGATGGGGACCGGAGCGCGTGAGCGGCAGGTTCGCACATTTTTGGCCCAACACCAAGTTACAGAAAGAGAAAGGAGGGGTGAGGGTAAGATTCAGGATGTGCAGAGTCACGATCCAGTAAGTCTCGGATAATATCCACAAAGCAAACATTGATTATGGTAATTTTATGACAAGTACCCCTCTGACAGAGATTGAAAACAGTTGACTATAGAGTAATTTCATTTATTTATCACACAAATGTTAAACTGACCTTCATGTAATTGTAAATAATTATCAGCCTAACTCAGGTTGCATCACTATATTTTGTAATGCTTTGCTTTTGTCTGCTCATACCACTGCGTACTTTGACATACACCTTTTGGGCTGGGCTGTTTAACTGGTTCAGCTATTGGATTGAAGTTGTTCTGAGCTTTACATTATGGTATGTTCATTTGGAGCTGAATTAATGCATAAGTTTTGCTGTTGTTTTTTGTGGCGAGATACACTGAAGATTTGTTTCATGATGTGACTCAAAGATCTGGAGTCCCTGACTTGGAGGAGAGTCCCCAGTCAGTTGTTGGCGGTCTCTCGCGACATCTTTCATCCTGTACAGGGTTGTGGTCTTCCTCTGCCTCTTGGCAGCAATAATGGACTCGAAGGGAGGAAGGTACACTTTCGAATATAGTTTGAATATCTATTTATTCTAATACACCCAACAATCAAGCCTGTATAATATTCAAATATTATATTTGAATATTCTGTCTAATATTCTTTCGAATGTCATTATTTTTTGTTAATATTCAAATTATGTTTGAATATTAGCAAAAAATCATCAATAGCCTGATATCCACAGATGATTGAGTGAAACAAATGTGAAAGAGTGATTTACATTTTGATCCAGAATATAATGGATTATTGAGATGTCAAGTGAGGACAGGAGATGTACTAAACCTTGTAAAAAATTGCCAATGAGACATCACTCTGACCTCTACAGTGACGAACATTGTGCTAAAAGTAGAGATCAAATTCCAAAACAAATTTCTGCATTTAAAACCACTTGAGCATTGAACTTGGCACACACGTACTGCATGGCTTTCTTTGCTTTGGAATGACTGGGCCGATACTTAAGTATCTGACACATGTTTCGCTGCCATTTCAACGAGGCAAGAGAGCTTAAAGGAATTCCTCACGGGCTCCAGGAATAATAAATCATATTATGTCTAGTTTTCCTTTATTTAATACTTAATTTAATGCAATTATAGATGCCTGAACAAGAACATTGTACTGCAGGAGTGATAACCTTTCCAACATTTGACATGGACTTGGCTGTCAGATGCCTAAAATTTCAACACCTGCATTTGGTTTCACAACAATGTTATTTTAATCAGACAATTATTCTCTAACTAAACAATAAAGAAAGTCCTCCATGATTTAAAAACAGTTAAATACCATCTACCCATAATTATTGCAGACACAACAAGTAGAAAGCAGCCCAAGTAGTATACAACATAGTAATTTATAACATTATGATCTGTCTACCTGATCCCACATTTTGGGAATCATTGTTTTGCTAAAAAGCTGCTCCCCATCTGTTAACGCTAAAGTCTTACTGTTTTGTTTGAGAGACTGGCTCAAGAGAGGAGATGGTCCAAAGCCAGGGTGAAGGGGAAAGAAGAAGGGACATCCCAGAAACAGCACATCTGGGGGACATGCTATTGTGAAACTGGCCTCAGTCACCAATCAATCTAACTAGTTCCTTTGTTGGTTCTATCACTAGATACAGCCAACCACTTTCCAGCATGAAAAGTGAAAAAGAGAGGTCCACTCCTCACTTATCGCTTAGCTCAGAGCTCAAATAGTGATTCAGTTCTTTCAAGTATGAAAAAGATACCATGTTTTCTATTAAGACGAAGCCTGCTGTGGCCTGATTTGTTCACAACATTTTGCTTTTACAAGACTCCTTAATTTGGGACCAACCCTTTCTTTAAGTGGGGGAAAAAAGCGAGGAACCCCAGCTTTAAAGGGGTATCGCAAGACCCTGTAGCAGCTAATATCTTTGTCTGCATAAAAGTAGCTAGAAGCAAACAAAGGCTAACGACAGGGGTATCATTGTGAATTAATTTTTGTGCCGCAATGGCCGTGTTGGTCTGAGAGCAACACGCAAACACATGCAGTGGAAGTGAGGGCAGTGAGGGCAAAGCGTAGGCGGTTGTGAAGTATGCTATCTTGGATCACGTTCAGATGCACAGGGCCGAGCAGCGACTCCACTGTGTTTGTTTCTCAGCGCTTTGCTTCTCCATCTTTCCATTTCCCCCCTCCGCCAGTCGCTGGACGTCAACTTCCAACTATTTTTTTGTACTTCTTAATAAAACCATCCATCCACCAAACTCCTCTCGTCTGTCGACCAAATTTTGACATTCTTTCGCCCCATGCCTTTTGCCAGTTCTCAGAGGCAGGTTGTTTCACAGGAAGTCAAAAGTCATAAGGGTTTTGTTTTTCTTTGGGAGGTTTTGTCTGTTGAGTGGTGCATTGTGCTGAATTAGCCAGATTTCCAGCTCTATACAGAGACCCTAATAGACCACTGGAGATTTAACTGAAAGTAAAGATATTGATGGAACAAACTCCCAATAGCAGAAAGCAACATTATTATTGCTGCTCAATGAAATGTAAAGAAAAAATATGAGCTTAATGTCTTGCATGTTGATCCAAATAATTTAAAGCAATCCTTCCTCTCATTTGTAACGTATCTCAAACCTAAATCAATGCAGTGACTACGGGAATTACACAAACAAAATAGTCAATGTTCCAGGGAATGATTGCACTGTGCACACTACTGATGGCCTGTTCTAAGAATGACTCAAATAATATTTGCTGAGTTATTTGGTTAGTAGTGTGTAGCAGGCTTGATATCAGTTTTGTACATATTGATTTGAAGACCTCAGCAAGCCGCTCCAGTGAGTAAATGCAGGAAATATTTGAGCAGTTTTTGTTTTGTAATGGCCTATGGGTATGTGCACTCCTTATAAATACTACCAGAAAAGTAGTCATTCTTATACTTTATTTTATGTATAACTAACCAGGTTGAATGATTCATGTTTAAAGGAAGACAGGGGGTAAAAAGCCACAAATATAAACGAGTAATTTCCCAATTTTGGCAGCTGCAAAGTTCATCAACCCTTTCCACCCATGAAGAAACGTTATCAAGCCAAACTGAGTCCTTTCCCCCATCAGATCAATCCATTCACGCGCATGCCAGCCTTTGTTTGCCTATATGTCTTTGATAAAACCACGGAGCGCGTCTGAAAGGCTCCCTTCAGCCGCTGCAGGACTCTACAGGTATGCACCCCCCTTGTCCCGCCGCAGCCGAGCCTTCACCAACAAGGCCTTTATTGTAGACAGCGTAAGACGATAGCGCTCCGGGACAGCTTCAGCTATGTGGTTACCCAGACAACCCGTGCACCTTCCCTGCCCCTTTTACCTCAGAGAAGCGCCATTCATCCATTCACTTTTTGGCAAGGCTGACTTTGAGGGACCGGAGGGGGTGCAGAGAAAGGTGTCCCTTATACGCTGCGCATGAATGCAAAAGGCCATTGAGTTTAAGCAGGACAATGACACTCACAGGCAGCAGGCAGATGCCAAATTTGGTTGAGAGGCAACGTTTGCTTTCAGAAATGATGTGGCTATGGGATGCCTTATAGAATAAAAAATACGAAAAAATAATATCCTAAATAAGGCCATATATTACTTTCCTAAAATGTTTACAAAGGAATATATGAACAAGGAAGATGATGTCAGCCAATGCAGTAAATGGGTACATTGTTGCAGCGTTGAAGGCAAATGATTAAATAATAATGTATTTTTTTCAACCTTTTTTACTCACTTTGATACTATGATCATCTTAAATATAATGCAAGTTATGGCTACAATCTGGAGTGATGCGTTCATTAACATGTACTGTCCCAACCAAATAAACAATAAATAATACAACATTGATGCAACTACTAAACACAAACATGTATTGGTCTACTGCACAAAAGTGCCTAAACAAAGCATGATAAGTTTAGTTTATTTAGATCAGTCAAAATGAACTGAAATTGCAATAGCTCTACAATTCTGCTGCAACAACACATCCAGTCTATACAGTGGGAGCCATATTCTATTTGTTAATGGTTTTGTTAGATAACATATTTTCAGGCATTTAAAAAAGTTAAATGTTGAAATGTGCTTTATTAACATTTCTGACATCAAGATTTGTACTTCCACAGCAAAAACAGGACATTGGCTATCCACCTCCTTGACCATATCGGTCAACCCCATACAGTATAAAGTAATATTGCAAACTGCCAACTTGACTAATTAGCTCACGTAAACTGCTTCATTACCCATTGAGCTTGTGTTCGGTGTCTTACCTGGTGTGTGCGTCTCGGGTTCACCGTTTCGAGGGCTGCTCCGGAGTCTGCGCTCAGGCTTTTTTCCTCCAGGAATGACCCCGCTCAAAGTCCCCACCATCGGAGCGTGGGACTTGCTGCTGCGTCAAACACAAAATCATGTTTAAAACAAGTTTGAAATGTATTTTACAGATATCTAGTCGAGTCTATGAATAATTTAGTGGCATGTGCAAACTGGATGAAAAATGGGGGCCGTCAGTGATTTCCAAATCAATACAAAATATTAGAGTGAGGAGGACGTTATTATAATAGATCCATGGGAGGACGTATTGAAGCAGAGCAGCCGGTTTTAATGATGGAGGGGTTGAGTTGTTTTTACCAAAGGGTTGGACGTCGCTTCCAGTGACGACACTCGTTGACCAATCAGTGTAAGGCAGTCGGCTGACGTCACATTATGGTGTAGCTTTGGCCCGGATAGAACCACTGTCGAGGTGGTACGAAAAAGGTACCCTTAGCCCAAGCCCAACCCTTGTGGAAATGCAAAATAACCGCGTCGTGCCATGCCGTACTGTACCGTTACTGTGGAAAAGCGGCATTACTGTGTCCAAACTGTTCTAAAAATCCAAAGGTGGGGAATAAACTTTGACTGCCAAAAAATATTTAAAATAAACACAATCTATCTTTAAGTTTCTAATGTGGTTGTGAAAAAAAGCATAACAAAAGTTTGATAAGATATTCAAAAGGGTTTTTGTCAAAGCTCTCACCTGTATCCATTGTGCTGTGGGGCCAAACTGTTCTTGTAGTGATTGGAGGGAGGAGAGTTGAGTCGGTTCTGTCGCTCTAGTCTCTTTTCATTGATCTTTTTGGGCTGTGGTTTAGTGTAAGTGTCCTCTCTGGTGTAATTGGACATCCCATAAACAGGGATGATTTCTGGATGAAAACAATCAAAAACACACATGAAAGATAATAGGCCTATGTTGGGGTTAATGCTGTAGTGTTAAATGCATTTTCCAAATCATCCAAACGTTTTAATAACTTTGGCTTACAGGCGGCAGAAATCATGTTTCTATTTTTGACAAATATTAAGTATTTACTGGATGCATTCTATAGTTTAAGTAATAAGAATGTCACATACATACATGAAATGACAATATAAGAATGAAGTTCAATACTTCCAAAATCAGTTATACACAATGGAGCTATAAAGAACATGTCAATTATGACTTTTGTTCAAGGACTGAATCAAAGCTTTAGTTGGGTTTAGATGGTTAAACAATGTATTTCTCCCCCCATATCTCCCAGCACTATCCTTAGCCAACCCTGTGGTCTGTTGTTCCCATTGGTCTCTCAGTATTTATCCCAGCCTGCACTGCGTAGCTTTTCAGGTACATGTGCTGGCCAAACGGCATGATGTGTTGTTGCTTTTACCTTGGTCATACATTGGGGGCAGGTGGTGCTGGTAGTACTGTGGGGGGATGTCTCCGGGGCTCACTGGGGGGTAGAATGAGTGAGAGTTGGGGATGAAGTGTGGGTGGGTGAGGTAGGGTGGCAGGTGGTGCGTGGGGGACAGGGCCGGAGAGTAAGAGGGAGTGTAGCACTCGGGACTCTGTGGGGTCACCACCACCCGCCGGACCCCTGTGGTGTCTTCCAAAACCTGTGGGGAATAGCAAACTACATCAGAGCAGTGAAAAGAGAAGGTAGATGTTACAGGTTAAATTAAATAACAGACAAAAAGGAGGATTTTATTCATTCAGATTCATAGACAACACCAATTAACTTCAGGATTGCATGTTTTTCAAGTTAATAGGATGACTACAAGACAGATCAGGAAGATGCTTTATAGCGGATCACACTATAAAAGCAAAATCTCCTTGCCAATAACCTGCCACAAGATCAAAATGAGTACAATACAATAATTAGAGTCTCAGAGTGTGTGTGTTGGTGGTTCACATGTGTTTAGACTTGTATGGCCAATAAACCAAAGTTGCATATAGTGGCGGACGTGCTGGGGTCTAAAAACAAATAAAAGAAAAAAAATAGAATAAACCATAGTTTGTTCAATAACACAACGATATTCAATAATAATACATAAAATACATGTGTTCAAAAGCAATGTATTTTATTGTTTATTTAATGATGCAAGAAATTAAATGTGATGGACGCCAAGTCTATTTGACGCAATTATGCATTTATACCACATTCAGCTCATTAGAAAACTAACAAATGATCATGTGTTTCTTTCCATAATTATTAAAAGCCTATAACTGACAACGGTAACTCTCCTCCTTCACAATACAGCTTTTTCCACTTGTATATTGAAGTTGTTTTGATGGGAATTCTCTTGCCAAGGCTTCCACGCTTCAAAAACAATGTTCAAAGCAGCGCGTCACAATACTATGGACCCGCTGCATACATTTACAGACCGAGACGCGCACATTCCTCTTATTCACTCACTTTCACACAGCCACAAACCAGGCTCCCTGCGGAGAAGAGGGAAGTCATCCGCCTGTCTCAACAACAACAGGGGCACCCAACCCATTCAACACCAGACGCCTTACACCAAAAAATCTTCCCGAAATATATTCATTTAGGGGAAGAGAGAGTGATCTGCATTTGACAATCTAGAAAAATATGTTGTTATTTATTTCTAATCTAATCTAATTAAAATGAATTCCAATGTAATTTAACCTATGAATTCATAATTTTAAGAAAAGTTTTATAGTAAAATTACTTCTAATTATTACGTATTTAAGAGTCATTAAGCGCAGGATGAATATAGTTTCATATCATTTTAAAGGCAGTACTAGTACTCTCCTTGTACTGCATTTTTTTTTTTTGTAAAACTATTTTTAGAGATTCTAAAATTGTCTGAAGTTAAGCTTTTCTCAGACCTGCGCACCACAACCCATAAAACAATGCCGCAAAGACGTCACTCTTATAAATAGTTTGTAAACACTGTCTGCAGGTGAAGGGGCAACTGTCACATTGGAATGCTCTGCATCCTTGTGCGCACGCTGCAGTGACGTGACAGAAGATATATACATTGATATATATATACATATATATATATATAAAAAGGTAAAATCTTCATCATAGCAGAACTTTACCCCACTTTTACTTGTAAACACTTTGTTTTTCTGCAGAGAAAGGGGGCCATGCAGGGGGCTCCTCTCCTCTTTAGGACACTAGAACCAGCTCTCCCTCCTCCCTCATCTGAACTCTTTGTGGATGTTGTGTTTTGGCTGTTGATCCACATGTCCTCCCCGACTGTGATGGTCTGTGTGTGGGCCTATTTTTATATAGCAGGTTAAATCACACAATGTACTAAAATAAACTTTGATTAATCAAGATGACTGATGATAAGTGATATTTGAGATGTATTATTTACAGAATATAAAACTATATGAATTGGATTACTTTACCCCTTGGATTTCAAAGTTCAGGTTTTACTTATATTGTATTGATAATGATAATCAGAATGCACCAGTTGTATCAGCTCATTCTTGGGCACTCCAATTATTGTATATAAAATTATTGTATAGACATAACATTCAATTTAAAAAACAATATTTTTTTATTTTCACATATTACATTTTAAATATCGAATTTGGCTCTTAGTTGTAATAAATGATAAAGCATATTTAAAAGGACTCGAAAGCAACAAGACGATCAATAGACTGCAGCCCAATAAGAATACAGTTGTTGCCACACACAGAATGAGCATGTATGTGCAGAATTCGTCATTGATGCAGATTTGGCCCAGAGTTTGTGAAACAGACCCCCACCCTGCGCCTGTTTCCCCTATCGGCCCGTTTACATAAGCGTGACAGCAATTCCCGTCTGCTGTTGGCTCGCTCCCTCCGCACACACACCCACACACAAAGACAACACAAACACACAACCCACAGCGAAGCAATGACCCACTGTCCACTGGCACTGCGCTCCAGAGAGAGCCTCATGTGCTCAAGTTTTCAGATATTCTTAAGCATTGTTATATTGTTATCACTGTGCTGTACTTGGGAACCTGGGTGTTCTTAAAGTATTAGGGGTGTAAGCGATATGCAGCAGGGATTCCATTCATATAAGATTTAGGGTTTTGAATAAACTATATGCATTTTTGATCTTGTAGGACCCCAGTGGCATAAGAGTGGTCAGCATGATGCCTTAACTTTTGATTACGGTTGTGTCTACAGTGCTCCATGATCAAGATTTGTCCCACAGCAGAAAAAAAAAATCCAAACAATTGATCCAACAGCAACTTACAGACCACTGTGATGGAAAGTTAAGGTGCCATGCTGAGCACTCACACAGCATGGCACATTAAATGTAAAATAATAATTCTTTGCATAAATGTTGCAAATCTTATTAGGAAGACTCTGGGATTATAAGCAAGGCTGCAGTTCTGACACCCTCCTTTTTCGAATGTGTTCCGTCTGTCTGACACAGGCTTCAATATTTTAAAGGTAATGTTATGGTACATTTTACAACGGATGAAGTGGTGTTGTCAGTCTACGGTCCATAGCTGCTCAGGATGGTAATTGTAGTCATAATGCAAGAAAGTACCAACGTCGATAGAACAATTTTGTAAGATTTAAGCTCAAAAGATAATGCAAAATTATCTTATATATCTTTTAGTAATACAGACATTATGGCAAAAAATGGCCATAGCATGTGCAGTCCAAACTGAAAAGTGCTTGTTCTCTTTGGGGGGCAGTTTATGTCTCATAGATGGCTCTTTAATTGAGCACAGGGAGGGGTGGAAGGGGGAATCGCTGCATGTCTTACACAACTGTCATTGTAAAAGGGGTTTATTGTGGGAGATATTTAACTCATCATAACTCAATTACCCCATGTGCCAAAACAAACAGTCATTCGCACTAACTGGATAGAGAGGATGAATGACGCCAAAAACATTGTTCTATTGTTCAATGTGTAAAAGCCCTCCATAGAAAGTAAAGATGGAATGTTTACTTAGTTTAAACACATTTTTGCATCAACCCTGCCCTGGTTGAAAACCTTTAAAAAAAACAAGCAATAGCTAAAAATCCTCCAACATCCCCAAAGCTTACAGGGCTCTTTCGTACAAGCATGCATACATTCATTTGTTTTCTAAAATTGCTGTGGTCTGATTTTTGCATCAAATGTGGCAATTTAAATTAGGTGCCCCAGCTTTAGGCCATTGGTTAACTCCCAGGTTAGTGCTAGATTTGATCTGCAAGATCCATCCCTCAGAACTAGGAAATGGCTAGTTAGGAGATAGCTTGTTAGCCTATTGTTCATAATTTGCTTGTGGGAGTAACCAACTAAGACATGAGGAGAAATTCTTTTTGTTGAAAGCTAGTTTTCCTCTACTGCATTCAAGCCTTGAGATATGAGTTGTGAGATATAAGCATACATAATTATATACAGTATTCATAAAGTCTTAACCCAAATGCAATGGGTTTTCACGATTACATCTGCTATTACTCTGCATTTATACGTTCACAATTCCTACGCTTCCAGGGGCCAGGACTTCTATCAAACTCCCAAAGCACACTGACCTGTGAGATGTATCCTGGCGGGACGTGGATGGGGGGGATTGAGCCGTTTGGAGACATCATGGGAACCTCTGCAGGACCTAAGGGCACAAGAAACACTTCATTTAATTGGACAGCTTTGAGTCAAGTCAAGTTTCATTCACACACTCAATCAACAGGTTGCATGCTGGGAAAAATGCCACACACTTGTTTAAAGGGGAGGGCATCGACCGTGGCCCTGCTGTGGACCTCTGGCTCATAATCACCTCCTAATTCCAATGTATTAATAACACCAATACATTTATCAACACCTGTCACTTTAAGGGATACATTACTTAGATATATTCTCTAGGCAGAAGTATACAGCCCACGTCCTAATAGCATGGGATTTCTAATACCATGAAGACAAAAGAAAAAAGGAGGGATACAAAAGGAATGAGCTGATTGGATAGTATTAGACTTAAGCTTAAGCTATTTAATTCTTAGTAACCTGACACACGGATACAACAACATGGGATCATAGCAGTGAGAGCGTCTTAGTTCATAATCCGGCACTTGAATCAGCGGTATATACAAAACAGCGCTGAAGCAATTGATTACTTAAAAAATGAAATTCCATCTAGCTGCCTATTAGCAGCTAACATGCTAAGCTAAACAGGTAGACAGTAATAGATGAGACTGTGAAATGAAGACAGCATTATGGAGCGCCCGTTGAAGGCACATCAATTCCATGCACTTTGTTTGTTTTAACCCTTTTAGTTGACATTCATTACGTGTATTATAATTAAGTGGATGTTATCAACCAAATGTTACTTGCAGCTATCCTTTCACTTTGTTGAAACTATTTTAGTTTGTGTAGGACTATCAATGCTTTCTGAACATATTCACTGAACTAAAAAAAAGAAGAAAAAACCCTCCATAATACAGAAAACCGTGATAATATTAGTCACAATAACCATGGAGGTTACATTTTCATACCGTGACACCGCTAGTGAGGAGAGAGGAGGGGTAAGAAGGAGCCTGCCCTGCTTTTGTTGAAGCGTTCCTATTGTATAGTGTAACCAGGCGGTCACCCATGCTCATCGGTACCTATTCAATACATACATGAATGCAGCTTGCAACTTTGATGAATGAAAATTCATACAGTTTGCCACTAAAGAAACAAACTACAAGGCGGCAATAGGTGTATCACACCTCAGGAAGTCACGGCCCACCCACACAGTAAGGCTCACTGAACGTGGCTCACAGATAACAGACAGAACCCAAACATGTGAAGAAAAATACATCTCACTATCAGTCAAAAATAAATGCAAGGTACTTATTTACGATAACAAAATTCCCCAACTGCATCCGGCATACAATACACTTCCTGTGACTCCCAAATCCATTTATTATATTGGAGTGAAGGACTTAAATGCATAGGCCATATGTTAAGTACAGGGCAGAGAGGTCTATATAGGCTGCATCTGGCAGAAACAATGCGCACATTTAGTCCTAACATGGTGATGGATGTCTGTAGTTTCTCATGAGAAATATCGGACTGAATATATAGAATGTATAATAGAATTAGCAGATTGAAATGGTATTGACTTTTCCAGGGTGCACATCTCCTGAAGTGCCTCTTTTCTTCCTACATTAGTCAGTGATGGAGGTCCGCTGCTGCTGCTAAAGTCATTGAGACCCCATTGGACCCAAGGCTGGCCTCAGAATAAATCACGTTACACGCTTAGAGACACGCACAAATATTTTCTGACCGATTACACACCACGTCACATCCCTAAATCTTATAGTCCACTCAAAGATCAGCAAAACAGATTTGCAGTCATCACTGGTACCATTCATTCATGACTATCTCAACTCTACATTTGAGGTGGAAAGTTGCAACAAACATTTCCAATGACTCAGATGTGTTGCAACTTCAAAGGGTCCACAGGCAAGACACCCTTAACTTTTCCATGTAGCATGAGTGTGTGAACGATCAGTGGTGGTCTCTGATTCATGGCCCAGGTCAGGGGTGTCAAGACTAGGCCAGACTCCACCCATTTCCTCAGGTGAGTCCACTTTTAACCCGAAGATTTGAGGAAATGGGTGGAGTCTGCTGCTCATGCTCAGGTTAGAACTAAAACCTGCAGCCACACTGGCCCTTTCTGGAACCAGTTTGACACCCCTGGCCTAGGTGAATCTACTCAGTGAAAGCCACAGAATATATACTGATTAACCTTTCTTTGAGGAGAATGTTTGCACAAACCTTTAAATATATTGTTGCGCCTCAACTAGCTTAATTATGTGAGCAGAAGCTAATTACACAGCTAATTGAATACATTGTCAAGCCCAATCAGGATACCAGTTTAACTTATCATTTCGAGTCAGTATTAAATCCAGCCTTTGTTTCTGAATTGACCCATATTTAAAAGCAGGTATCGGTGCATCCCTAAATTGGTGCAAAAAACATGAAAAAGTAATTAAAAAGAACATCAATTATATATTATGTATTTGCCAACTGCATTTGGGAAAGCCTTTCGTTTCCATGCACAACACCTTTCAGCTCATTCATCACTTCCTGTTTCCTTCATCCCAAACTATGCATCCTTCCATATCCTTCCACATTGCATCTTTTCTTCTTGCCATTCCGACCCTCTCTGGACGTCCCAAAAACAAACCGGTACAGTAAACACTCCTACGCCGTTCGACAGGCCAAAGTCTGCTTTTAGCAATCCTGACTGAGTAATCCTGCTTCACATAGAGCTGCCTCAGTCCTGCCACCGTCACTCAGGGCAGGACGATACAAGCAGTCTTTGAGAGCAGGGCAGTGGCCATGGGGCGAGCACAGTCCTATTCCAAAAACCTCTTTCCATCTGCCGCAAAATGTCCATCCCATAAACAGAAAACCAAGTGTATTTTCATGTATAATGTATAATACAAGCCTGAGGATGATTTCATATGAATGTGGAAACATATAAAGCAAATATGGGCCGAGCATACAACAGTTGCCCCAAAGTTATGAGACTCCGGAATGGAAAATACTGAAAGTGCTGATAGTCTTCTGGTTGAAAACCTTAAAGTTGGGTGGCTCAACTTCTTTGTTTCTTAATTAACAAATTCCTCTAAATCAAAACACATTCTTCATTGCATTAGAAAATTCAGTATGCAAAATCATTTTGCATACTGAATTAAAGGGTCTTGTCAGTCACCATTTGATGCTTTTGGCTGTGAGCTGATGAGCAGAGTGAGAGTGGTTCCTCCTTGAAAGCTTGCAGTTAGAGCAGTAACCAAAAATTTTAGTAGACTTTTTTGTGTGTAAAAACACTTATATGAATAATTTGTATGTAGGCATATATAAATACATATATACACATATACATCCAGGCCGTGAAGCGTATTTGGTTGACACGTTTAACAGCAGTGCTCATATTCATCCAATCAAGAGCTACTTTTAGAGGCATCTGTGAGCCGGGATCTCCCTTAGTTGCAGGAAACCACAGGAAAAAACCTCTTGATCCAGCAATGTGTTGGCACTATATAGTTGTACATTGTGAAGGTGACGTGTCCACAATTACAGTGGCCGTCAACAAATTTCAATTAAAGTCCTTAGATTACATTGTGTTATTGTTGCAGCCTTACTTGCTGTGAAATTTGCTTGCCCAGCGGTGATGTGTGCAGATTTTTACAAATCACATTCCTGCTGTAAATAAGAACCACAACACATGGTCTACACATTGTTGTTTAAAACCTTTGCAACTTCATCCAACTCTCACAAAGATGCCACAGAGCGCTCCATACACAGCGCTATGTTTGGACAGTCTGCGCTCCTCACTCGGCAAACAGCAGCATTCCTCTCATCACTGCACACAGGAACATTCCCATCCACGGCCCCCTGGACTGGACCCCCTCCTAAACCCCCAGACCCACCCCACTCTGCCTTCTCCCAAAATACAAGACTCTTTTGTCCAGCGACTCTTTCATAAGTTGTGCGGCATTAGGGCATGACATGGAACAGTTACGACAATGGAGAAGTTACACATTGTATTAACTCGTCAATGAGAGATGGTTTTAGAATCTAAAACCATCTAAAATTTAGATAAAAGACCTTATATAGAAGACATACATTTCGTAACAGTGCTCACTTAAAACTGAGGTATCCAACTTTGCTTTTTCTTGAATAATACATTCCGTTTGTCCAATCAAATGTAAATGCAAATTATGTGGATAAATTAAACCACAACATGTAGTCTAGGTTTTGCATACTAGAAAGAAAGACTCGCAAGTTCGGGCTAGTAGCGGATTGGCTGAGTGAGGATGGTCCGAGGATGGAAGGAACACGGTGGATGGATTTATTACATCGTTTGTGATTATTAGTATCCAACCTTGAAAGCTTATTTATTTTTTGTAACTTCAGCCAAACCATCTATCACCATTAAAATAGAAAACAGTGAAACCAATAACAAACTCACCGATGATTCATGTCGGATAATTTTCACTCTAAAGCAGCCATTCCCAAACTCAGTAACACCGAGGCCCCCTTAAAAATCTGACGGGTCTGCGTGGCCCCCCAAAATAATAACCAAGAAGACAACATTAAGAATAGGCTCTTCTGGTTATTTTATTTTGGGGAAATAGCCTCTGCTACAAACATTGTAATACAAAAATGATTACAGTGGATTATTCAAGTCAAATAATGAACACAAATATTTTAATATTACAAACAAAACATTATAAATTTAACATTAAATAATTATATTATTTTTTTATTTTTTTTATGACCTCCCGCGGCCCCCCTGCAGTACCCTCGCGGCCCACCAGGGGGCCGCGGACCCCACTTTGGGAGACACTGCTCTAAAGTCTCATCTCATGCACATTTATTTGCCTTTACAGCAATATATGGTCAGATCTTCCTCTATCCAACCCAATAGGAGTCCCAGACACTACCTCCTGGCCTCCCCCAAAACTCCCTCTCCTTCCATCTGTTGCTTCTTCCGCTTCCGACTGCTGCAGAGACCAGGTCAAAAGTCAGTCTCTGCAATGCTCTGACATCACAGTTTTCCATTACACCGTAGGATCATCAGCCCCTTAAATATTCTACAGTTCATGTGGTTGAGCAATT